CTCCTATTCACTATTCTTCTGGATACCCCGGCATGAATGTATTTATGCCATTCATGTGGTAAGCTGTTGCAAGACTTCTTTCGACCTCGACCTGTTAACCTGATCAAAACACGGTCATCTCTGGCAGTAGTTTCTCGGCATCTACCAGTAGTCTTTCCTGGAACAACGTTTCCTGTAGTCCGATGACGTTTTAGGAAGCAATGCATTCTAACCTCTATCACCAGAAGCATAAGAAAAGTATATTTAATTATATATCTAATGATTGCAGGTTTATTTTTTAGTTTCGCTCTAAGATCATAGCTTATCCTTATCGAAAGTTAATATTAATCAATTATGATACTAATAAAAAAATCAACTTAAAAACGAATCTATATATTAAGATGTTTCAAGTGTTCTCCACTCACCACAAATAGTCTATGTTAATATAGATTTACTTCTGATGAGTAAAGGATATTACAACCAACCAACATATAAACAAGACTTTACCTCTATAAACATTCTGGGTGCGTGTTCTGGTTTACCATTGTTTCGGATGATTGATAAAGGTTGGAATTGAATAAACCGATCAAACTCAATGACAAATGACAAAATCATATATAGACTAGACCTCGTGATTAATTTATTGCCAGAGTCGACACATTGGACAATAAGAAATATTTAATATATATATATATATGGTATATTTCAAGAATATACGTTTATGTAGGTTTATGTTCTAATAAGGCTAATTGCACCTTATGAGAAAAAACTTCATGATATGTGTTATTCTTGAAACTATTTCCTATTTTGTCGACCATGATCACGCCCTTCTGTCTAGCTTATGCTCACTCTGATGGCCATGAGCACTATTAATTAATTTATGATCTTTCTGACGGCCATGCACAACTTACTATCTTGTGTTCACTCTGATGGCCATTGACTATCTATCTCGTGCTCATGCTGATGACCAAGATGACGTGTTACAAATTAACGTCTGCGAAGGATATCGAGGTTAACATTAGACTACAGATCTTGGCAATATTTCCACTGATCCTCCGTCGTACGTTTGTTTGTTTCGGAAATTCGCTCCATTGTGCTAGCTGTTCCTAATTTTGAAACGACAGACTAGATGTAAGGTAGCTAATCAACAGGACCTTCCACAGAGTCTTGAGCTACTCTAACAGAATAATGAGATTTTACCATCACTCTTATAACGTACCAACGTGCTCCCCAGTGGCACAGCGGTATGTCTGAGGACGTACAACGCTAGAAACCGGGTTTCGATACCCGTAGTGGGCAGAGCACAGATAGCCCATTGTGTAGCTTTGTGCTTAATTCTAAACAAACAAACCAACCCATTTGGTGCCCACCAACAGATCGTTTTGAAAATAACACCAGTAATGCATTAAAATAAAATAATTAATAATAAAACATTATATAATATTGTTGCGTCAGCGAGTCACATGACTACTATGACGCCACGTTTCTAGAACTATCCTGTACTTTGGCGAATGCTCTAGTATTTACTAGATATAGGGTAGTCGGGTATATATAAGAAGGAGACAACGTGACGCGGTAATGTGTGTGTAGATAGTGAGTAATTGAACTGCAGTCAGAAGTATTGTAGACGTTCGTTGTTACAGCGTTTGTTTAGCGCGATTGTTGAAGTTGAGTGTATCGGTAAAGTTATATTCGGAAAGAATAAACCAGTTTTATTAAGTAAAGACTTGTGTCGTTAAAGTTTCGTCGGAACGAATTTACGGAGAGTTAATTAACAAACGGAGACGTAACAATATTTACTTAGTGAATTTGAATAAATGTTTTGAAAAAGCCACAGTAAATTATAATTGGCCATTTTTGTTAACGCGACACTCTCTGCAACAACTACAGTGAATAACTAAGAAGCAACAAATTAATTACGAAATGTTATTGTACCAGACGCATGCGCACTGTCAACCCGTTTTAGTGCTGATGGTGGGCACCAAACGGAAAATCATCCTGGGTTTTTACCATATTTGTACTAGAGGCAATCCACAGTCCCCATAGTCTCCTCTAATACCTTCCTCCCCCCCGAAAACAACAACAACACTTTTCCAAAATACTTTTTAGTGAGGCAAACTGGCGAAAAATCCACATAGAAAAGAAATGGTTCCTTATATAACAACTTCTAATATATAAAAAAAAGTCAGTGCGTTTTGGTAACAATGCGTTCCAACAATGGCTTTTATGTCATGTTGCTTAGCAACAAAAGTATATATGTTATACTTTTATGCTAAAATTTTCAACCTAATAACCAGACCAAAGCCTATTACTTTATTAAAATATATCAAAATAACCGTCAAATCTTGGATTATTTATATAATAACTAATTTTGTCTTATAACTTTTACAACAACAAACACCGTTTGAAAGACCCAAATTTAAGAGAAACATTCTAATAGTATATATATATATTCTCTGATTTGTTCAATGTTCGCCGCGGGGATCGAATCCAAATATTAAGCTATAAGTCCTCCATCATATCGCTGAGTCACCGGATGACAATTCTTGACCGCTAATTGTTACTAAATGTTTGTAGCACATTTCGTGTGATGAGGCAACATATCCCTCCCAAATGATAATGATGCAGAATTTGTATGTAGTCCATATAAATTACACACTTCCCTTCCGAGCAAACTACCGACACAGATTATCTATATAGTATCACAGTAGTGAAAACAAAGGGATTCTATCTATAGAAAATATCAATAATGATTGACATCTGTCTTACATGTTGGAATAGTGGTACTGAATATCAATTTAATAGTAACCCTTAACAACTCTTTTTGACCCGGCATGGCCAGTTGGTTAGGGCACTCGACTCGCAATCTGTGGGTCGCGAGTTCGAATCCCTTTCCCACCAAACATGCTCGCACTTTCAGCCGTGGGGGCGTTATATGTGACGGTCAATCCCACTATTCGTTGGTAAATGAGTAGCCCAAGAGGTGGCGGTGGGTGGTGATGACTAGCTGGCTTCCCTCTAGTCTTACACTGCAAAATTAGGGACGGCTAGCGCAGATGGCCCTCGTGTAGCTTTGCGCGAAATTCAAAAACAAACAACAATAAGAGCAATGGATGACTTTCGCCCACTATTTTTTGGTGAAACGCGATTTTTAGACTTCTATCTTCACTCGCTGAAAGAGCAATCATGTTTGGTGTGACGGGGAGTCGAACCCGGGCTACCTGTGATACTATCACTAGTAAATAAACAATTTTCTTCCGCGTGTGTGTAGTGATACCCGATATCAAAATGACAATAAAGGTTTCTGTCGTACGTGACATTACTGATAAAGGATATCATGATGTCATTAACACTTTCCTTATAAATGGCTGACTACTTCCCAAGTGTTGATATCAAATATTAAACTAATCCCAGTAATAGAAAATTTATTTGAAAAAGATTATTTTTTTTAAATTTCGGTAAATCTTCCAGAACATAAACCCAATGTTTGGAAAGATTTGTGATTTGTACGTGAATCATATAATATGTAAATATTAGAAAACCATGTATGCTAGATTGTTCATATATCTGATGCTGTATTACAAAAAATTGTATAGTTATCTGTGCTTATTACGTACAAAATTTAATAACATTGTTTAAGTTCTGCTAAACATTAAAGCGTTTAATTGCATTGCTAAAGTTGAAAACATTGCCAAGACATTTAAACGTGTATCCGAAGCATGAAATGGACAAAGTGGTCAAATCTACACAGATACGCACGTACGCACACACGTGCGTGTCTGTGTGGTTTTCGCTACCTTACCTCATTTATAAAGATGCGCATACGCGCACGCACGTGGATAAGATAAATAATAATACCCAGGTGCACACTCTCAGGGCCACTTGATATGGGTGCAAAATTGCAAGTTTCTAGGTTCTTTCCTCTTGGAGCTAACGCGGTCATATTTCTTTTATATGCTGTTTTTCTCATAAAAAAATGCGCACGCACGTAGACAAGTGATAATACTCAGGTGCATACCCTCAGGGTCCACTTAGTAAGTGTGCAGAATTTCAGGTTTCAAGCTTTTTTCCTCCTGTAGTTATGGCGGTCACACACAGGTCCACAGACACGCCCATTTATTATTATAGGCAGTGTATCATTTTCGTAATAGAACCTGAATTGAAAATCTATAAAAAAAACATTTAGCTTTAACACCATTGCTGAATAGCGGACTTTCATTGATCTATTATTTGGATTGATGGAACAAATTACAGACGATTTTAAAATATAAAACTTTACAGTTTATTGTAAATGTATGATAAAATTAAATTATTGTACTTTATTTTTTAACACAGTAATTTCTGAAGTCATCAGACTCGGATCTATGTACAGAAAGTCTAATTTAAAAGCACGTGGTCTCTTGCATCACAATCATAAGTCTAAACTATGGACCTTTTCTAATTACATAATCATAACTATGTCATGTTATAAATACATTGTGCAGTAAACTGCTGACAATATGTGAATCACTGAACAACTTCGTTACAAAGTTTAGAAGAACACTCAGGACAACTCTTTGTTTTAACATCTCCATCTGTTGAGAACATAACGGTCTATCTTGTCTAATGATTATTGTAGGCTGTACACTAGAAGTTTCTTATTTTGAGAAACGTGTACATAAATTGTACGTAATGAAGAACTTAGTCAATAAATATGAACAGAAATATTTAACATTGTATTTTAACTTTATCACAAAGAAATACTCTACATAAATAGTCACACTTTCATAAACACGACGGATTCCACGTCAGTTCTATATTTTAACGACTAATTCTCATGCACAGGAACATTAATGACAGAATAATTGACTTTAAAAGTATAATTTTTATATAAAAGAATTGAGTGAAACTATTTTGGTATTTATTAAAATGTTATTAACAACATGTCAACAAAGAATTTTGCATCAAAAAAATTGAAAATTAGAACATTTCTCTCTCTGTGTCTCTGTTTATGTCTTACACACTGTAAATGTGAAGATGTAATGGAATTATTTGGTAAATTTCAGTTTGTTTTTATTTTTGTTCAAGCAGGTGATGAAGACGAAATTACAAAAGAACACAAAGATTCAAGACCTGATGGACATGAAACAGTGGATGAATCTGTTACTTTATTGGACCAAGAAACTCTTTTACAGTCCACGCTGCCAACTAATAAAACGATGGGTTTGGTTGCTCAAGTAACAGGAACAGTAACTGGACAGTCTAGAATTCCCTTATCTGTTTCCACTTCGGGTAGTAACATAAGGGCTCCAAAAGCTTTGACTTCTCAGGACGCAGATAAAATGTCCAGTGACCACCGGATACAGTTCACAACCTACGAACCCTTGTCATTGACCAGTATAATAAACAATGATATTGACCAAAGGATAAAAGAATCAAACCCTAAACCGACATCTTCATCTGAAAATTTTCCCTCAGGAACAGGAAGTACGTCATGATTTGTTGTAACAATGTAAAAATTAAAACGGAAGTACGTCATGATTTGTTGTAACAATGTAAAATTAAAACGGAAAGACTTCTGTATGGTTAGGCTATAAGATGCTACACGTGATTTGCGAGTGTAAAATTTACCTCATGTAAGTTAGTCTGCTTGAAGCAAGCTATTGTGATATAACGTTTCCATAACTTTCATGCAGAAATCGGGCTGGATTTGTACTTTAATCACTTTCAGTCGTGAGTGAGTCATATCTGAATGGCCCGGCATGGCCAGGTGGTTAGGGCACAATCTGTGGGTCGCAGGTTCGAATCCCCGTCACACCAAACATGCTTACCCTTTCGGCGTTATAATGTGACGGTCAATCCCACTATTCGTTGGTAAAAGAGTTGCCCAAGAGTTGGCGGTCGGTTGTGATGACTAGCTAGCTGCCTTACCTCTAGTCTTACGCTGCTAAATTAGGGATGGCTAGCGCAGATAGCCCTCGTGTAGCTTTGCGCGAAATTCATAATAAACCAAACCAATCATGTCTGAAGTCAAACTTATTATTCGGAGCTGTATAAGTGGCAGGAGCTGCTGACTGGGCTTCCCTCTAGTGAGCATAGATAGATACACCTGAATCTTGGAGTCTCTAAACTAGTCGTTCAACTGTGTTACACAAAGTATCGCTTAGATTGGAATTGACAAACAACATGCAGTGACCTTTACATAATTAATGCACTGTAGTGCTTTTGTAGTTGTATATAAGTATGCTCAATTAACAGGAACAACAAGTGAACAGTCTAGAATCCTCTTGTCCGTTTCTACTTCAAGTACTAACATAAGGTTCCGAAACGCTTTGACTCCTCAGTTATCAGCAGTCAATAGCATTGCTTAGTATTTCTAGCCAAGTAGTGCGTGTCTTAGATCTTTCGTTAGTAAACTTGGCCTTGATTGTGGTCAGTCACGCGCAGATGATTAGTTCCGTAGCAGAGGTTAGGGGTATGTGTATTATATACGTGTCTGTATTATTTCCTGGTATAATTTACAATCGAAACACAAGACGCTTATATATGATATTTGTTGAAAATAGAGAAATGTGACAAAAATACAGGATTGAAATTATAAAACTAGTAGAACAATAATTATTTTACAATTTCTTTAAAAACATGACCCCCCCCCCCCCAACGGTGGCTCAGCGGGCCCGACCTCTGTGGTGCACACAGCGTAGATAACCCATCGTACAGCTTGACGCTTAACAGCAAAGAAATTTTCCAAATACTAATTTGTAAAGTGAATAGCATTACTGTCAGTAGAAAATCATTCAGATGGCACTGATATTACACACAAAGGACAGTAATCGATAAGACCCATTGACCAGTGTTACACCTCATTATAAAGGACAGTAATTGATTAGACCCATTGACCAGTGTTACACCTCATTAGAAGGACAGTAATCGATAAGACCCATTGACCAGTGTTACACCTCATTATAAAGGACAGTAATCGATAAGACCCTTCCTTCGTGACTATGACTAGATACTTTTGACAGCGAATATTTATCATAAAGTGGTGACGTACGATGCTTTTAGCTCTTTCGTTCAACTTGCATATCGTGAAATGCACGTGAGATAATCTTGCTGTCAGATGATTTTAGTTCTATAACAGTAACACTGAAAAGGACAGTAATCGATAAGACCCATTAACCAGTGTTACACCTCATTATAAAGGACAGTAATCGATAAGACCTATTGACCAGTGTTACACCTCATTATAAAGGACAGTAATCGATAAGACCCATTGACCAATGTTACACCTCATTATAAAGGACAGTAATCGATAAGACCCATTGACCAATGTTACACCTCATTATCTTAATTAGGTGTAACACTGGTCAATGGGTCTTATCTATTACTGTCCTTCTTAATGAGGTGTAACACTGGTCAATAGGTCTTATCGATTACTGTCCTTTATAATGAGGTGTAACACTGGTTAATGGGTCTTATCGATTACTGTCCTTCTTAATTAGGTGTAACACTGGTCAATGGGTCTTATCTATTACTGTCCTTCTTAATGAGGTGTAACACTGGTCAATGGGTCTTATCGGTTACTGTCCTTT